GGTAAAATCATCATCATCAAAAATAAAATAAAAGAAAGAATCGGGAGTCTCGTGCCCTTTGTGCCCTTTGTGTCCTTTGTGTCCTACTACATATTTGCTGACTATCGCAGCTCTAGTATCAAAAAATAAAGAGAGTTTAGAGGGCACGAGGCATCTGCCCTTGTGTCTCCCCAGCCACTCCAGCTTCTCTTTCGCTGATAGTTTTGATAGTATCTCTTTTGCTTGAATCTCTCTCGGATTTGCTTCTTGTGCTCCTCGTCGTATCGCTTCTGCGCGGCGATCTTTTCGGCATGTTTGCGCTGGTAGTATCGCCTTTGCGCCACCAGAACCGATTCTCGATTTCTACGTTACTTTGCTATGGTACGCCATCCTTAGATTGTTTCAGCATCTTCTCAATATCGATTCACTTTCTATTAGACAGCGCTGAGGCTCGTGTTGGTTGCTGGGGTCTCTGTAAATACCAGGAGCTTAGCAAATCTGACACTGAAAGGGGTACTGTGCTGCTCCCCACTTTCTAAAACTGGTCTGAAACAAGAGGTCTTATGGGCATGTCTCGAGGTTTGTGCGGGAAGTTTCAAAACCGGAGCGGGTCGTTTCGACGTTCTGAAATAAAGAGTTGGAACTGCCGCATCCATACTGCCATAATGCGGTGTAGACCAGGCGCGGAGCACATTTATGATTCACATTCCCATCATAACAAGGTTATTTGCGCGAAAGCCGTTTTAGACCCCCCCATACCATGAACACAACGTGCGCGGGGTTGCAGACAAGTCAGTCGAGAGCGCAAGCTCGTAGACCGGCCGAGACGGCAAATGCCGTTAAATCGACCAAATCAAGCTTGGGGTCTCGACCCCAAGCTTGCTTGACCGCACGCAAAAGTGCGAGCGAGGGTGGCCAGAGGCCACCGTTGCGGTCTACGATCCCTACTCAGCTCACCATCGACTTCGGGAAACACCGCGATCAAGACATCGAGGACGTGCTCCTCAACAATCCCCAGTACTGCTCTTGGTTATCCAAGCAAGAACATCTGATCACGGATGAAAGGATATCTTGACAAGAAACTCAAGGGCACGGATATAACCTATCGATTGCGTTGGTGACAGTTCAAGGGCCGAACGTTAGCATGGATCAGGGACAACCCAACCTATCTAGAGTGGTTGAAGGCGAATGATTTCGTCCAGAACAAGTGTACACGACTGGCAAAGGAGGTCGAGGAAATTACTTCGTGATGTCAAGTTCTTTGAACAACTTTGGATCAGGTATTGGTCTCTTTTTCGGCTTGTAGTACCTTTCAAAGCTCAGGGGGATTTCTACAGGTGGCGGTGTAGGCTTGGGATTGGGCTTTGGCATGTAGTTATTCTCATCGAAGATGATCGGTTCCTGCGGTGGCGTATCAACATATACGATACGATGTCCATGGTTGATATATTGAGTGTCAGCAACTTAGATTATACAAACATGGAATAACATGGAATACAATCATCCTCTGATCAACATGCCACACAAACACATCTGCAAAGGGATTTGCCACTGCCGCATGAGCGATGAAGATTACGAAAAGATGGTGAATAAGGGATTGGATGACTGCTGTGCTAGCCTGAAGCAATCAAGCAATAGCAAAAAGCCACACGAATCTGCGTTACGCTACATGTTTTTGGCTAATGAGAGAGAAAATGATTTGGCTTTTGGAGCTTATGTGTGTGGGCTGAATCTTGATTTTGGCAATTCCATGTAAAGAATCAACGCACATTTCCCACCCAAAATAGACATCCAGTTTTTGATTTATGTAAACATATTATAATACTCTATAACAGAACTAGCTGTATTGCTTGACGTGTACCTAACATTGTAACGAGAAAAGCACCTTATGTGCTTGACCCTTAAGCATTTGATCAAATCGTATAAGATACAATACGGTATAATTTTACGTAGTTCACGTTATACTTGGCGTATTTGTGAATCTTGTAGATTTGCAGATAGATCAGCCAAACGAACCTATGGTATCCTTGAGGCAGATGGAAACAAAGCCACGGTATCATATCAAGGATCAAGATATGACGGGGGAAAAGTTGAATCGATACTGATCTTGTCTCCTTTTCCACAGCATATTTTTACTGAATGGGTTGCGTAAGTAGTTAAAAAATCATAGGAAGTTAGTTGTGTCCTCGCTATCTATCTTAGGATGTGATATTGAGACACGAAGCGAATACCCAAATGCGTTAATCAAGCCAGATCAACACATTGTTGGTCGAAGCTTCAGTCTCACTTTCGAACTTTCCTGATAACCACTAAGTTCCAAACAACATTCATCAATGCGAGCTAGCTGCATCCTTTCCACCGCCTTCGCTCTCTATGCACCGCAAATACACGGAGCTCCGGATCGCAACCTCGAAGCCTTGACAGAGGGCGATACTCTTGCAGAGATGGAGCAATTCCTTGGGGTGAAGCTTGAAAGAAAATTCAAAAACATTCCAACTTCTGCTAGAATTGAACCAGCACCCTGGAATGGTCCCATGTGGGAGACCTATGGCGACAGCATCAACTACCCTTGGCAGAGAGATCAACCATCTCCAACTGAAAAGTATGCGAAGGCTTTTGGTATCGACACAAAGGAATTGATGGACAAGGTTTCGGCCCAGTTCGGTATCTTTTCGGTGGGAAACTCATCTGTCCAATGCGCAGGGCCTTGTAAAGATGAAGTCGCCGATGTATGCTCCTATCGCGGCAGTGATA